GTCTGTAGTTACCCACGTCCTCCTTCTTGCCATTTTTGAAGACTGCAGTGACATTTGCTTATCTCCAGTCTTCAGGCACCTCTCCTGTTCCCCACGACTTACCAAAGATGATGGAGAGCGGCCCAGCAATGACTTCTGTCAGCTCCCTCAGCACCCGTGGGTGCAACCCATCAGGGCCCATGGATTTATGGATGTTCAGATTGCCCAACTGATCCCTAACCCAGTCCTCATCAACCAAGGCAAACTCCTCCTTCATCCTGACTTCCCCCGGGGCCTCAGGGCTCCGGGGCTCCTGAGGACAGTCTCCAGCAGGATAGACATCTGAGGCATGGGGGAGCCATTGGACAGCAGTGTCATCCACGAAACTATTGCTGAGAAAAATACAAAGTTCTACAATAAATTATCAGTCCTTCGAGTCTTCCTTCTTCCAGAGTTTTAGTTAACAGTGATTAACTACATTGGTAATGGTGTGATATGAGCCATCTTCAATTTCCCACAAAAGGGAGAAGGAACTAATGCAAGATCTTGCTACATATTACCCACCTCACTATTTCAACATGTAAAGGCCTGTACACATGTGATCAATTTTGAGGACACCTTCTGATATTTCGTGTTTTCAGTAAAGTGCACTAGTGGGTCAGCTGTGTTTGTCACTGATTAAACACATACTGTGCAAGTTATTTTAAAGAAGGGTCTTAACACAGATATCTGCTATCAATTAAAAGAAAACACTATAAATTCAAGAGCAATTTGTATTTCTAAATGTCTAGAAACATGTTCTGCTTCTACTGAAGTTTAAATACAGCCAAGTTTACACAAGAATTACTAATGGGTTATAAAATCATGTCTTTTGAATATATGCATATCAGGAATGTTAAACCTATTAGACTCTGGTATTATACTTAGGCTCAGTGCTGAACCTGGATTAAATGGTGCTATATTGACTTGATGAGCTGTTCAGATATGCTGAAGCTTTAACTGAATGTTTTAGAACATGATAATTCTAACAGATACATCCTTAAAAGTAGTAGCTTAGAGATATGAAATTGCTTTCTAGTACAGGCCTTTGCCAGGTTTCAGGAAAGAGGAAGAGGTATTTTGTAGTCCATAGTCTGAGACTGGAAGTTAATAAATATCTAAGGAGAGGTTCTTTCTTTTCCTTTTCTATATGAACAAGTGCCCTTTGAAAGTCAGAAGGGAATTGATGTAATCTATTGATTGCCATTTAAATGCCTTTATAAGCTAATTAGTGCAAAATGTTAAATGTTTCTGAGCAGAAGCAAGCAATAACCATGAAAATAAAGGAAGGCTCATTTCATTCTTACGATATATTGGAGGTACAAATGCCCTGATGCAGAGTCACCAACAAGTGAGGACCACGAATAGCGTCTGTTGTGAAACTGCTGTAAAAAACAGGTTCTTGTTGTAACTGTGAGAGTGAAGTTATACCAAAAGCAGTCATTGTGCACGTTGCTTGCAACAGCAACGGTATATCTAGCTTCAACCTACATAGCTGGGATAGCATCTATCTGGTAGACATTGTGATGTTTAGGGAAAAGGCCAAGACTATAAAATAGGTTACTAGCTGGAGACTGCCCAGGTCTGAAGTGTCTAAAAGTCAGTACCATCTGTTCATCCGAAATGAGGTGCTGGTATCGATCCAGTTCCTAGCAGATAAGTATGTGCCCTGTAAAAGATACCTTCACAAGTGATCTTGGTTGGAAACGGGGTTGGCAGAAAGGAGCAATGGGCTGAAAGCTCTAAATGAGCTCCTTCTAGCACACACAGACACAATGGTGAGTATATGTGCCGTCTCTCTACGACACATTAGGAGGCAATTTTTGCTTGCTTTTATCAGTTTGGCACCTTTCACTGGCTAAATTAGATATGTTTTCGCCATATAGCTCCAGGAAGAGGTATACGCAGCCAAGCTTCTTTAAGGGCCCTGGGAGAGACCGTCCTGCACCTCCTGTGTGAAGTCACAGCCCAGCCACAAAGCCACGTTCTTGGTGCCTCTACACATGTGCTGACCTCCTGCTCACAGCCAGGTCATTTCTTCCGTCTCTAGAGAACATTTAGCTACCTCTCACATTCCACAGCTGGAGTGGGCAACCAGTGCTGCTCACGCAGCCACCACCTCAGTTAGAAGCTTCCTTTCTCACCAGGGAGATGATCCTGACCCACTCAGCCAACTTTTGCTTAAATTGGTTAAATGCTGGTGGGGAATGGGCAGCAAAGGACATTCCTCTCAGAGGAGGAATAAGCATCACACTGTACCCAGGGGGAATCACGTTTTTTTCTGACTCAGACCACTATCACCTGCACTGATGCTCTCGTAGTAGTAAGAAAAGTAGTGAGTAGTAGCAAGAAAAGAGCTCACAGGGAGAAGAGCATCCCAACCCACAGAGCAGGCACAGCCTGTCCTGCAGGCGCCCACAAACCAAGTGTCCTCTAAGAGTTATTTCAAGTTTCAGCCATCATTACCATCTTATTAAGTAGCTAATAACGACTGCATGATGAAGTATTTACATGAACATATGCATTTAATCTGAGGCAAAGCTTTTGCTCTTCTCAAATCAACTGAAGAAGACTCTAATTACGACAGTTTCATGCCTGCATCACTCTATCCAAATTAATTACTGTGCAAAAGTTAATAAAACTGAAATTATGTTGTGTGCCTTGAGAACGCTGAGAAGAGAGAAGCAGGGCTTCGGGCCTGTTCTCATCCATCGGGATCACCTGGAGCCGGCATTACGCCCTGCTCCACCCCTGCCGGGCTTTGCTCTCCTCCCTCCTCATCCTGCTCCTCTCCCTTCCTGGTGGAGCTGGCAGCTCCTGACGGATCCTCCTCACTGACAGCCGTGCTTCCTCCAGCAGCAGGAGAGAGTCACAGCTTATTTCAAGACTATTAACAGCATAACAAAGTATTCACACATTTACTAGACTTTGTATCCTTTCATGTGAAACACTCACTCCTTTGATCTTGAGGTGAGAAGAGATTTCCTTGTTATGCCAAACTATTAAGGAAATGAAGAAACACCCCCATACAATCTCTCTTTTTGTATTAATGGTAACAAGATATTCAGAAGAAGATTCTCCCTCCCAAGAACAGTATAGTGAACGTAAACAGCACCCGTATTTCTAATAAAGTTGTGATACCTCTTCTGACAGGTCCCCTCAACTCATTTTTGCTGCGCAGATAAAACTGTCTCGGGCTGATAATTACATGGAATATAAATTTTTACACACTCACATCACCCTTACAGGGTCAGTATTTATCTCACAGGATTTTAATACAAACAAAAGATGCTGCAGCGTAGCAACCACCACAATTAAGAGCAACTGAGTATTTTTATATAAAGACTTTTCATATAAGTAAGGCAGAGCATAAAAGCTTCATAAAGTGATTCTGTATTCACTTCCAGCTTTACATCAGATTTATACATATGTGTATGTGTGCGTGTGGTCATGTAGTGAAATTTTAAGCAAATTCAAGCCACCGTCAGTTTTTGTTTAAGGAGCCCTCAGTATTCCATCAGCCTACAGCAGCAAGCTTTTGTCTCCCTCCTCCCTCACACTTGCACCTGTCGAGTATGCGTCGCAGGCAGCACTGACCACTTTTCTGTACAAGAAATCGTTGATTTAGATGGCATCTGATTGGCACTGCTGAGAGAGAGCCAACAGCTGAGCATTTCAGTTCACCCTTGGAAGGCCCAGAAATAAGAGCTTTTCAGGTCACAACATTTTTAGATGCATAAAATGTTAAGTACATGGTCTGAAGTCATATCTAGAGTTTTTAATGACCCTTACCAAACTCTCTGCAGTTCAGCTCATGGCTTGACAAGTGGAGAAAGAAAGGACAATCTTAAATAAAAGTGTATACCTCCCCTCAGCCTCAAATATTGCAAACACAGCGCTTCCCTAAGCGAGGCGAATACACACCAGTGCTCTGGGGTGCAGAAGTTTCCCCCTGACTGCTTGATACAGCCACAGCCAGATGCCGGGAAGCAATGAACACAGGGCAGCAACAACCACGGAAATCAAGGCAGCGCATAGAAACGAGCGGCAACACACGCCTCCTCCCCCTTCTCAATCTGGCGAGTGAACACCGAGGTCGGACGGCATCAACGGCTGCCAGCTCAGCAAGCAGAGCAAGTAGGTCAAGAGCATTGCTCCTCCAAGAGTTTTCTTTGCTAAATATTGTGCTAATGACTGCATTATTGCTCAACAGACCAAGGTTCTGAAACTGGTGTTAAAAAATCCCACCCTCCTGTGATAGCAGAGGTCAGGTTTTCCATCTTGAGATGTTTCAGGCTGAGCAAACCCACCCATTTTTGATATTAAAATCTGCACTCAGGCCTGTCCTGATTGCACAGAGCAGCTTTCACCAGAACAGTTATTACAGTTGGGTAAAAACAAATGACTGAAAAACATATGTTAGGCACAGAGTTTAGAAAAGCTCTAATGGATATTTAACAGACTTACTCTAAAGAATTCTTTGGTTGAGCCTGAATCCAAAGTGCCATAGGCTATTTCGGTTTGTTTGGCCAGGTCCTCCGCGCTCTCTATGGGAGAAACCATCCTTTCCACCGTGAGGAAGGCAGCAAGATTAGCAGTGTAGGAAGAGATAATGATGAGAGTGAAGAACCACCAGACTCCTCCAACAATTCGCCCTGAGAGAGATCTATGGGGAAACACACATTATCAAATTGCTTTGAAGACATCCCTTGATTTATTTCAATTTTAATTCATCGAAGAGAAATTTTCATGCACAACCCTTATGTCCAGATCCTCCAGGTATCTGTGAACAGGCAGACTGTGAGCCGGTTCCTGAGAGTCTTCCTCAGGAGAGCAAACTCTGTGTATACCTGGTGTTACCTAGTTAAACCCTCTCTCCAGTCTTTTAGTGAAAACAAGGACAGCTGATTATGAATTAATTCATCTAAGTCAACCCCATCGGAGGCTTGGAAAGGAATAAGCTCTCCTGGCTTTCACAAACCCTTTGCTGGAGAAGGCTTTTGCCATAAGACTTTGGTCTGGATTTGCCTGCTGCAATGTGTCAGCATCGTGTCTCTTTGGGAGCTGCCCAGCTTGGAGGGCACGAGTGTATCTTCTACTGCACTGACTCTCCAAATGTAAGATGTTGTGAGCTGCAAAAAGGAATTTGAGTAAACATGCAGCAGAATAAACCAAAAATGGTCCAGTACTCTTCTCTCATCAGAGCCCATCAAGAATTACAGACTGAATTTGCGTACTGAAGTGAGGAGAGAGGCTGGTTTGGTTGATGTTTTGCACTGTTCCAAGGCAAGTGTATTCCTCCTTTATAATCAACAGAGCAACAAAGAAGGAAGCAGAAAAAAATTTAATTGTATTCTGTTTTTGTTGTGGTTTTTGTGTTTTTTTCTGAAGATATGACAAGGACTAAAAATGCCTAATGGTCAGGAGGTCTAGATCCTGTCAGTAAGAGCTTTTGACGCTTTAAAGCAATTGAATATCAGGCTCAAAATATTTGTTCCAGGCTGAAGGATGCCAGTGGCATGCCGCTCAGCTGGGTGGGGAATTTCCTCACCGTGTACAGTGCTCGTTCTTCAAACACAGCATGTTGACCAGGAATCATTCCAGGAGCTGAGACAAAGCTATTTCACACGTTTGCCCTTAACTCTACTTATACCAGTGAAAGAAAAATCAATCTCAGATACATTAAATCTACAGAACTTGGCTGCTGTAGTCCTCAGCTGGTGTGAAGGAAAGAAATAGAAAGCAAGAAAAGTCTTACCTGTTTATTTGTTTCCTTCAAGCCCCTCAGTGCCATATCCAGACAGTGGGTACAAGTTGTCCTCCCAACAGATGGGTACAGAAAAAAGTCTTGTGACATGCCCCACCCACCCACCCAGGGGAGTTAGCTGGTGAACTGCCTAGTCTGGGCCAGAGCCTGAGATTTCCTGAGCCATTAAAAAAAAAATTCCATCAAATTATTAAGGAAAAAAAAGAAAGAAAAAAGTACATCCAACATTAAAGAACACACCAAAACCAGAGGGAGCAATCTGGAATAGGTGAGAAATATGGAGAAGCAAACCAAGAGGTGAAGCACTGCTCTTCTCTCCTCTGCCCCAAAACTGAAACAACAGCTTCCACTGAGAGGGCAGATGCAGGCCGGTTTCTATGGATTACAGCATGAAACATATCCCAGCACATGCAGCACCCCCAGGACTGCTGCATCAAGTCTGTACCAACGTGCAAGGTGGTTCAGGTGGCTACAAAGCTTAGGGGAGCTTGAGGAGTGAAGCATCACCTCCTTGTCTATCAGGAAGCGATGACTTGAGGCATGAACTCCAAGAGCTGTTGCTGGGGCTCTGGCCTGAGTGGGCTCCCTCCGGGCAGGCACACATCTGAGGGATCACAGACAAGGGGAGGAGGCTTACCCTCCCCTTCCAGAAGGCCTCCCAAGAGGACAAAAGGCTCCCAAGATTAAACCCAGGCTGTGCTCTAGTTGTGCTCACTATCAGAAGGCTACTGAAAAGCTGCAAAAATAAGCTGCAGAAATGTAAATCCGGAATAATGGAATAAGTCAAGGAATCTCTCTACCTTGCTCTACATTCCTTACAGGTATTAAGTGAGTGTCTTGGGATTTTACTGATGGCCAAAGTCTTTTCTGGCCAGCTCCACTACCAGTTAGGGCTTTGGTTTCAGCTACTTTGTAAAATTCAATGCCCTACACACCAAATCAGGCTCTTTAAAGCACTGTAGCACTTTTAGCCCCCTACAAAACTGTGCCTGAATGTAAGACTCCCTTTGGAGACAGTGGCTAGAAAGAGAGAAGACAGACACCCTCAGAAAGTGATTTATCTCACTTACTATAGTGTGGGCTAAGTCTGAAGGTGCCCATGTGTCTCATGACTGTGGAGGGAACTGAGATGCCTAACTAAAACACAGTCTATTGCTTTTAGATGGCAATGTCAGGCAAAATTCATTTCCCTTCTGCTCCTTCCTTCACTACATACTTTCCCTCTTCAGGGAAGACGTGGAGTTGAATACCTCCTCCCTGTGGCAAGGTGGACAGTCTCTGAGACAAACTGCAGAAATCTAGCTAGCAGGTACAGCAGATGATACAGCAAGACTAGTTCTACCTGGGCTTTCCAGGTTCCCGTGGCCCTCTGGCTTTACAGGACGTCTTGAAATAAGAAGATGAAAAAAAAGACTTGCCAGGGTGTTCGGGTAAATTCAATGGGACTATTTGGAACAGAATAGAATGTGCTCATTCTCTCCATAGTTTCCCACAGGAAACGCCTTACTTGCACTGGTAGCTGCCCCTTCTGTTAGCAGGACAGATGGGTTGCTGGGATGAAGATGTGCAGAAGACAAGCATTTTCCAAACCAGTGAAACCTCAAGCTCACACTGCTGCAACAATAAAAAGCCTGTGTCAAGGTGCACACTAATACAGCGTATTACACACAGAGAAAGGTAAGAAAATCTTGCCCCAGAGGTCTTGCAACCTGCATGAACCAAGTCAGACAGATACAGGAAAAAAATGGAGAACAGCTGAGAGGCAGGGGAAGGTGGGCATGGCTGGATCCCTTGACGAAGAAGACACTTCCCTGAGGGTCCTACATGCAAGAGAGGGGTCTTGCTAGATGAGGAAAAGAGCTGTTCTTTGAAGAGCTGAGGTCACTTGAGAAAACTGGATGTCACTACAGAGTTGCTTCTCCCAGAGTCTTCCAATGAGCACAAAAAAGAAGGGAAAAATAAAAAGTGCTAACATAGCTGCAGTTGGTGGTAGCACAGGATGGGGCAAAAGGAAAACAAAGCAAACCACAAAGCTGACACTGAAGGAAAGAAAGACAGACAGAGAGAGTCAAAGAACAACAACATGAACCAGCATGGCCTGGCAGCCTCCTTGTCCAAAGGACCCCAGTTCCCCCCAGTCCATCTGCTGGTATGAAGACTCCTTATACCCACTGCAGGGGCTGGTGTGCAAGGACATGGGAGAAAAAGGGTTAGTACAAAAACACAGGGTTGGTAATAAGAAAATACCTGTATGGTTTCCACTATGAACCACAGAAATGTTGGCCTGTTACTTAGATAATAATTACAGAAGAATCAATCACAGCTTTTAATACCAGCAGAAATGATGAAGACATACCTGTCCCAGTGAGCTGTGCTGTAATTTAAAATTAAACTACTAATGCTTTATCCCAACACGTCATTTTCCAAATTATCTCAATAAATAGATACTTTGCATGGCATTATTTTAAAGTGAATTAGCATGTTAACTAATAGGAGGAGTATAAAATACCTGGAAAAATAGAATTACAACTCAATTATCAAAAAAAGGTCAGACAGTGTTTTTAAAAGGAAGTAAACAGGAAGAGTGCATACCTTGAGAGGAAATTTAAAAGGAAGCATGGAGTCAAATGAGAGCAAATTAGTAACAAGAAAAAACCAAAATAAATATTCCAATTCACATTCAGCTTCCAGGAGAATAACATATTAAAACAAAACCACAGTTGTTTATCAAAATAGCGTGATTTTTTTTTTCTGCTCACAACCACAAAACATATCTGATTCCCTATAGTACACAGAAAAAATAAGCTTCTCACACCATTCAATTTTTAATTGGGCTCTTCTGATCGATACAAGACGACTGCTCTATTGACAAACAGCCCTGAGCAACTTTGGTGTCTAGAACCCCTCTGCACCCTGAGCGCGCGTTACCTGGTACCCACCGAGCTGGGAGCTCAGCCCCCTGCTCCCGCGCTCGGCCGGCCCTTGCCTCTGCTGCTGAGACACAACACAAGACACCGCAGCATCTGAAGCATTGGCTTGAGATGCTTCCATCATAGGAAGTGGCAGTGGGAGTTTCGGCTACATCTAATCACCCAGCTCTCATTGCTAATTGGAAAGTCCCACAAAGTCATTCCCATGGCCTTTAATAGGAGTCTCTTGAGCCTTCTGCTGTGAAAATAGGGATCTAGAAATACACCCTCTTAAATGACCAGCCTCATGAGATAGTTTTTTTACGAACCCGCCTTTTGCCATTAGCAATTAATTAATCTAGCCTCTTTGTTCCACATGAATAAAGAGCAAAATGAAAATACTTGCTCTCATAGAGATTTCAAAGATACTTTCGCTCAGAACAGTGTTACAAATTTGACTGTTTTCTCCTGGTTCCGTTTGCTGCACACATCTTACATTAAAGTAAGTTTAATAATCTACTTTTGATCCATCAAAAGCAAATTTTCAATGCGTTAGCTCACTGTGCAGAAAACACAGAAGCCTTTGATAGTAGAACAAAACTGCTGGAACAAACGTCGATTCCATCAAGGGATGCACTAGCCCCCATCCCTTGGCTACTCTCTGATTCCATTTAGATGACTCCTATTAAATACAGAGAAGAGAGTATAGGGATATATCCTCTGGAATATCCACACAGCATACTCACCAAGGATAGATCTAACTAGTCATTAGATGTCACAGCTGTTCCACACAAAGGCAGCTGAAAGAGCCTTTATCAGCAAGTACAAAAGTGATCTCTCCAGACTGCTTGTCGGCATCTCTCTACAAGTGCTGTACACTCTTATATAAGAAATTTATTCAGACAGAAGTCACAATGGAAGAATGAAGCCCCTTTTAATGGCAATAAAATAGTATGGAACATTCATATAGTCAATGTACCATGAATGGCGTAACCTTACAAAGACACTGATTATGAATGGAATAGTTGGGAATAGTCCCTTCTACAGAAAAGAAATTTGACATTTAATCAAAATAAGTCAACATACTAGTCAAAGAAGCAGTGCTTCTGGAATTTAAACCAAGGTATTAAGTTTCCTTTTTTTCCATAACAATGCATGTAACTGCCTCGGATCTGTTATCATGACAGATAACAAAATAAATGGACAACATCTTCAAACGAGGGCCATGTATCAATACCGAGCTATAGCTTCCGACGGACAGATAAAATAAATAGGCTTACTGCTGTCTCTGTTTTTTGGGGGTAGGTATTTCCAAGGCACCTATCATGGTAGTACTGAAAAAAATTAGGGTATGTTCCACTCGTTATATAAGATAAATGGCTGAACATGTCAAAGAGTCACATGAGAGCTTAACAAAAATCCTATGCACTTCTATTTAACTGTCAATAAACAGACCTAGCGGAAACAGTGCAATGCCTGCAGCTTTCCATGTGATGTCCCAGTGCTTATTTCCCGGTCCTTTATATTGGGCACACACATGGTCAACAGCAATTTAAATGCTATCGCTACTCATTGCCTTTAACGGGAAGCTGAGGGGCAAAGTTTTGATAGAGAATTCAGGCACAAAGCAGAACACAGCGTATGGACAGGAGGAGAAGGCCAACAGCTGGAACTGTACAGGGAGGCAGCACACCCAGACCCCAGCAACCGTGGAAACTAACTCACGGGCACATCCAGGCAAAAACAAGTGCATGTTCTGCGCAGGATATAGATGTATCTGTCCACAAGTATGAAATCTAATTGCTGCTATCAAGACTTTCAAAACATATGCACGACTTGCATCACATACTGACAGGCATATGCCAGTGCCTCTGAAGTCCTGGGTTTCACTGCGATCTTTAGGAGATTTGGATGTGCAATGTCTGTGCAGTTAAAAGATCACTATTACATTACAACAGGTAAAACAATGATCCTTTCCATGAAACTTCATAGGAGTTTTACCACTTGTTTCAGTGAGGCTACCCAAGATCCCTGCCACTGTACGGACTGAGCAAACCTGTTAACTTTGAAATTATTCAGGTATTGAAAAAGGTACACAAACACAGAGACTGACAAGGTGTATTTCAAACACAGGTGATTAGTTAGAAAGAGCTTTCTCACTTGCTTTAATTAGCAACCTCATTAAAGGGAAAAACTGCATCCTGTTTCTAGTGAGCAGCTATTTTTAATAATTAACTGTAAACTGGTTATCAAAATATTGTCTTACAAAATATAACTATTGCTCCATCACTAAGAAACTACATAATTTTACTGCTTATCACAAGGGCATTACCGAAGTATTTTACCTGTGTAAATGTAGAAACACTATATAGATATTAATCAAAAAACGTCTGTGATATGCATTATTTGACTAGAGATAATTTCACTATTCTCAGGTGGTTTTCAAAATGCTTCTTTAAAAAAGAAACATAATTCTACAATAGCTAATACCAGGGCTCTCTGTTAAATTGGAACTAATATCAAACATGTTCTACTACAGCCTTTTTCAGAAAGACTGCCTTCATGAATAAGAAAAACCGTTACGGTAACTGCCAATGCTTATTACAGCAGATGAACTATGAGCACAGGGACAACAGATCAGACTGGACTGAAATCACAACACACATACAGGGCAGTACATGGTAACGGTTAAAGGGGCAAATTAGTAATAGATAAAAGGAAAGAACAAAACTAGAGAAATTAGGCACAAAAGAAACGAAAAAGTCTAGCAGAAGCTGTGATGGGAGTGGAGGTGTTTTAAAGTGCTGTTGCATGTGACTTTTAAATAAACAATTCTTACTTCGCAAAGCAGAATATGTTATATGCACCAAGGAGATGACCGTAAAATGAGATATGCAGCAAAAACACGGTAGCCCTCCAAGCATTGCTGAAAACAGGAAACCCTATGCATTTTACAGCCTCAACATGGTGTATATAAGTTTGGCAGAAATGCATAAATGGCCCTATAAAGCAATGCCACTCGCTCTGGAGGTGATTGTTAGCAAACGTGGAGGCTTGATGATGATGTCTAGCATTGACTGGAACACCCAAAAAAAAAAAATTGGAATGAAAAAGAAATTTGGAAAAATAACATATATGCACCATGGTATCAGAAAATGACCATAAAATGCAAAAAGGTGATGGAGTGATATGGAACAAACCTTGGAGAAATATCGCATCCTTGCTGCATAAAGGCACCCAGGGAAAACCAAAGGCTGTTAAATATTCCAAATTCATTTGGAGGGTCAGGAGGATTCTGAGGGTCACGTGGTTCTTCATTGCTGTCTTCCAAGTGCCATTCATAAGGGCTGAATCTGCTGACTAGGAAAAGAACTACGCTGACGCCAATGTAAGCAAAAACTATACACATCCAAATTTCATAAGCCAAAGGATCCAGGAAAGAGAACACGCCCGGTTTAGATTTCTGAGGCTTCTTGATCATGATGGAGATGCCCAGGCTCATAAAGGGTTTGGAAAAGTCTATGACTTCTTCTCGCACCAATGTTATGGTGAGGGGGGCAACAGCTATATCTGCTCTCTGAAAAGGGAAAACAAAACAAAGTTAGTTACGAAAGAGTTGCAACATAATCACAATCTAGTGTCTCAGGCTAACGAATCAGATTACAAGAGTGAGTAGGTAACTTTTTTTTTGCAGCCTATTTTGCAGTCACTGAAATTAAGGACTACATGATACTGACAGAAAATTATTAAGAAAAAATATAATCAAATCTGTGCAATGGCCTCATGACAGAGGCTGTTATGTACCAACATGTATTTATGTTTCTATTACATTAAAAGGGATGCATAAATGCTATATGAACTGGACAGTGAGATGCTAACTAGAACAATATAATTTTCTAGTAATGGTCTGCATCTGTCCATCATGAAGACTTTGGGCAACCTACGTGTTTGCTATATTTTAATTTTCTCTCTTCCATTCTTTCAGCAAGTTTTCTTGCCCTACTGATTAGTCCAAGATCCTAAGGAACCTAAGAGAAGTTATCAGTCACTGAATTTAAGCTGCTTTTGGGCACTACCACCTGTATACTCCTTTGAAACCTCATTGCAATAAGGGACAGTAGATGGTGGGGTGATAAGAATCAGGCACCCACCCTTCCTGTGGTCATGGAAGAACAATAATACAGATTTCTGAGTCCCTGAGAAGTATATTGCCATACTTATACATATGCCATCCTCTTTTACAGAACTTGGCTCTACAGATCTGTAACACAGATCATGCTCTGGGGCTGTGTCATCTGAAAGCACAATCTCATCTCGTTGCACCTGTCATTCACCAGCGTGTTGGTATACCCTGAACCAACACCCACCCCTTCAACCAACACATCTTTGCTGGATTCCATGGGAGGGTAAGAAAGTGAAGTAAAATGAAAAACAATTACTGGTTACCAGATTAAAAAACATTCCAGAATAGGTTTTCTACATATTTAACTGTAACTGTATTTCTATGCCAGAAAGACTCAAGTCATGCTGTTTAGATAACCTAGCCTTGATTCAGCCAAGCACTCAAGCAGCCGCAATGGAGGGGACTAGAATGTTAAAAAAGAAAGTCCTTTCCATTTAATTTTTTCGTTATGAGAGTCTATATATCTACATACATGTTTCTGTAATCTATTTTAAACACTCTATTCATATTATTGATACTGTTAATCATGGCCATTTGCTGGTAATTAAGAGTTTTATAAAGAAAAAAAATGATTCTTAGGGAAGGCTTAATTTACCAGTACCTGAACCACTGTGCACCTTTTAAATCAGATTTTTGTTTCCCACTAGTAAGTAATTATCTCTTTCTGGTGGAAAAATAAAATCTGATTATGTAGAAGTTTCAGTACAAGTTAATAGGAAATGTTAATAAGAAGTGATTAAAATCTGTGCCAAAAAATAATTGAATATGCCTTTATGTAAATCTGATGGTCATGTACGTGACTTTCATTAACATCTGATTTGTTCTTCCTCCTAGACAGTTGGTTTGGGTGGGTTTCTTTTAAAGTTTAATAAGTAGAAATGGAGAAGGCTTCTCATAAAGGTAATCTCAGCATCATGCACTGTGTGCCAGCTCTGTGGCATTGTGCCATGCCCCGGGCACTTTCCTGGTGTTTTAAGGCTGAGGCCAATGGCAGATGTGTTGGACTGGGGACCTCCCTTCACCACGTATCCTCCTGCACACACCACCTCCAGCTCTGCCCCGGCCACTCAGGAGTATCTCTGAACAGCCTGTGCTGCAAGGGACGTATGTGTACAAGTTCACTGCTTGGCACAATCGGACAGAGCCTGCCTGTGGAGATCAGGAAGCCATTCGGAAGTCAAGGCCCTTGGTGCACCCTCTCAGAGGCCTCCTCGGACCCTTTGGACACTCATGCACTGCTCTTCCTCTTGAGTGACTGCTTTCCTCGGGGAGAAAACCCTCACCTGACTTGTGGTCATCTCCTGAAAAAAATCTACCTTAACGTGGCTTGAACATAAAAACGGAAAAAGCCGCCTGCCATTGGATATCTGTGTGTTCACTGGCTTTGCTGACAAATGTGTTAATCATCTAAGTAACAGAGGCACTTGGGGGACACTGGCAGGGTACAGTGAAGGGAGCGGATGATGCTTGAACTGTTCATTGACGAATTCCCCCAAACATGTATTTGTCTTGTAGCTGTTGCTTGTTCAGCTACCGTTAAATAATAGATGCCTGCAGTCATTAAGGATGAGATGCACACAGAATATCAGTTTTAAAAGCAGTCAGAGTCCATGGCTGGCTGGAAGACTAAGCACTTTGACCATAGCTACTGTATTTCATATTGATCTAATGAGGTACTTACAAATTAATCCTCTTTAGAGCAAGCTTAATGGATCAGGACCCCTGCAGAGACTTAGCAATGATTCCATGCAAAGTGAAGCTTAGGTGGGAGGCAGGTACCTTTCCGCCTGGCACTTCTGCACATGGACAGGCAGTCTGAGCTCATCAAGATAGGAAAAGGCTAGTTCAGCCACAAGAGCATTTACTTTCCATAGTGTTTTCCTGGACTTGGGAGAAATGTAATCCTCCCAAAATAATATTTTAATTGCCAAAATAGACATGGAGGAGCTCTTCCTAAGTGCTGATGCAGCGTGCAGTAAAGTCTGTATCTCCTTTGTGAGCAGCTGAGTTCATGCAGGATATTCATGGGGGGGTCTCTGAGGGGCTGAGGCTGTGCTGAAGCACAGACAAATCAGTTTTTAAGGCCTGATTTGTACCATGTCCTCATTCATATTATACAGTACAGCTTTCTTTGAAAATGACTTAATGTTCCATTTTAATATTCCAAATATTTACTTTTCTGATACATTTCTATCTTTCTGCTTTCTTACCATTTTTGATAGGCATTCAATATGTTGGAAACACCACAAACACCCTCATGCCTTAAATGAATATGGCAGCAATTGTTTTCTCTAGAGGGAACAAGCACGAGTCCAGACACAGGGTCTCAGGAAACCATCAACAACTGGGGCACTGAGAATAGACCAGCTACAATACAGCACCCAAGACTGGTTCCCCACCACTTCCCTCAAAATAAGTTACATTGGAGAGGTTAAAAACCAGACCACTCTTTGTGTATTTATTTAGAGATACAGTATTTGAAATGGAGAGCTTATGGAGAGTTCTAAGCATCCTAAAGAATCATTAATAGCTGCAGCACAGTTGGGAATTTCCCTTCCTGTTATGGCTGCAGATAAGCAGAACCCATAAAAATTGAGCTCGATTAAAAAGAACACAACCACAACCACAAACATGCTCTTCCTGGAGCTGAACTGGAGGGGGCTGTAAGAACTTCCACAACTAAGCTTTGCTAATCACTCATGACTAATGGTGTTTCAAACATCATCTTCAGTGCATTTGAGCTGGGCGAGAAATGTCACGGATTCCTCTGAGGCTTGTTCTGTCTTTGCCTACTAGTGTGGGAGGGACAGGTTTAGAGAGGACTTGCAGCACAGAGGCACTACCCACTCTGTTCAAAGGTGACCCCAGGGACTGCAAACCTCAAGACTTATGAGAAGGGAGAAAAAAAATAGTGGATGGAAATAACACTCTACGTGGAGAAAGAAAAATGATAAGATGTTCCACCTCTGTAATCCAAAAGTAGGGATCGAATTCTTCTGCTAACAGACCTAAAGATGAGTCTTCCTAACTTCAAAGGACTAGAGGCAGCAAGAGATACTGGCTATGCTCCTGCCTGTACGTGCTTCTGGTCATTCACCCCTGCAGAACTGAAGAATTTCTTTGCTAGTGTTGTCACTTTTCAAGTGGGTCTGGGCTACAGTCACTTTGCAAGACCTTTGCGCGATGGGAAGCCAGCCAGCACTCAGGCTATGTGCAGACCGAAGCAGAGGGGCACTGCCCCATTCCCATTGGGAGCCAAACCTCCAGGCACCCCAGAAGTGCTGAATGCCAGAACACGGTGTCAGAAGAGACTGCTGGAATGATGACTGACTCTGAGTACATTTTAGGACTGCTCAGTGCAGTCTGAGGCTTGCAGGTACCAGAAAAAGGTGTCAGATAGAGCAACACATCACCTGTGGTCTCTGCTGGTAAAAGCTACCTTATAAAGAGAGCCCAGTATACCCAAGGATATCAGGGTGTGTTGAGAGGCCAGGTCACGGGGGCAGCATGTTTTTAACACATTAGCTCACATTTGTTTAAAAACAACAGTTGATACTTGACTAGTAACATGCTGCATCAAAATCTTAATGTGTATTAGCTGAACAGTGTAAAGTGGTATTAAAAAGTTGTTAAAACTGCAGTTGGCCTTGTCTGCCGTAATTTGCCAATGTTAAATCCATGTGTGCCTTATGTGGATGCCCACAGTTCCTCCTGAGACACAACTACTATACGCAGATGGAGAAATTAAGGGTACATCTGCTTTTTGAGCTGCAGGCAGATGTGTGCTTCCCCTGTCTGTGCTCAGACACGGGTCAGATGGAGTTGGGGACCATGTCAGGGTGGCTCTGTGCCTGGGCTGCGGTCCTGTCCCCTGGCACGGTGCCACCATGGCTCAGCTGCTGCCTGGGCAGGGACGCTGCATCAGTCCACGTGTGCACAGGACAGGGGTCCATCCCCACCGCATCTGCCTTCAGGCATGTCTTCCTGCACTTCCCTCCTGCAGGAACCAGGGCTGAGGGGCAAAGGGTGAGATTTTCCTGCTCTGCCACAGGCTAAGAGAACATGGGACATTTTGAGGAGAATAGAATTAATTTTCCTCTCCACTACCATTCAAAGGCTGTCTGTCATCTGTAGTCTTTCTTCTGCTGCGGGGAGAGCCAGAGAGGCCAGCACCATGCAAGGCTGGTGAGTCTGCTAAAGGCAGGAAGGTGTGTAGGTGGTCCTGCTCTGACAGACTGCGGAGGCTGCCTGCATTCGGGAGACTGCCTTTACATCCCTGCTTTGTTCCTTTATGCTATTTTACATATTGAAAGGCTTTTACAAAGACGTTTTTTCTACCTGAGGAGAGTTTCAAAGGCTGTAAGGTCTGGTTGCTCTTCCCACTCCCAAAGCATTTGTGGTTACAATTAAGATCCATGTTAAACCTACTGTCAATGAGCCTCAGTGATGTGAAAAGCATCAGGCCCAGGGAGGGAAGGTTTTCCCTTGCTGAACAGCTAAGGAAGAACAGCAGCCTGCTTTAAAAAGGGAAGAGGAAATAAAAGCCTGCAGAAAGAGGCTTACCCTACAGAAGAGAAAAGATGATTGTCTGGTGGGTACAAAGCCCTGAGCACTGGCCTCGCGGGGTGTGCGCGGTGGGAGGTGCTGCTGCTCATCAGCCTGAGCCCAGGGCACGTGGGTGGAACGTTGGAGGGTATTGCTTGCCTTGTTGGTTTGCGTTGCTGGTTAGATTTAAGCAGTGATTCAGTTTCCCAGATTGAGAATGATTAAGCTACTTCTCTCTTCTAAAATGCCCAGACAAAAGCTCTACCTATTTGCTATTTTTATTCTGTCAAAAGTTTCCACTATTGTTTTTGAAATCTCTCTTATTTTCAAAAACAATAGTGCTTGAATTGCTAGCTTTTTTCCTGGTAGAAAGAGGAGTCTTATTTTGACACCATCAGAGTGAAAGAGCAAAATTAAGGTTTTCTCCAACTTAAATTGACATTTTTTGACTTATCAGTAATATAATAAACTTAATTTTTATGTCAATTTTTATTACTATCGCTACTATTATTACTACTATGACCACCACCATTTGAAAAGTGCTAACAAAGCAAAGGCCCTGTTAGCTTCTCTCTAACAAAATCTCAGGGTTCTGTCTGAAGCAAAGGAGTTTGTGGAAACCTGGCTGGCCAGAACTCCCTGCCTCCAGGGCTGCCACCCCTATGCCGCCAAAGCCCAAGCCCTTCTCTGTAACCGGGTTCATTTGTACAGCCCACTGCAAAGCCACAAGAAAAGGTCCAGGAGGGCCAGCTGAGATTGCCCTTGACTTTGAGGGGAGCCCTATGGCACAGCAGGCTTTTACACCCTGATATGAGATGGAGGAGGTAGAACTCCTAATGGGAACTATTTCAGTGCATCTGCCCCCATGTAATGTGTAACACTTGGGACTATCCCAGTTAGCCCAGTTAACAGAGACCACTGGCTAGTCTTACACTGCAGTCAGGGCTGTGCCGGTCAGCCTCAGGACCCATAGCACTGTGACACAGCACCTGGTGCTTGGAGCGCCGAACCCCTCCCATCCCTCCCGTCTCTGCACTGTTGGGAGTCCTCCAGCGCAACGGTCTGGAGGCTGGAAAGACCAGGCTGCATCGTCTCTCCTGACTCTACGCTGCATCCCACAGGAAGCAAGAGAGACAGCGACAATGAACAAGCACAAAATATATGTCAATTACAGTTAATTAGGCTTTTGGCATTAAACTGACAAGCCATTCACTTCCTATGACTGTCCTAAGAGCAATTTTAGAAAAGAGTTGTAAGCGCGACATTATGCAAAAAAGGGCACAATATTGGAAAAGCCTGGTAAGACTTCCCAGCAGTGCCAGGCAGTGGGGAGAAACTTGTTGGGTCAGGAATAGGCTGTATTTGACAAATGACTAGTCACCATTTATCACTTGAGACAAATGCAATCTAAGAGATTGTGTTTTCTGCCCAGCTCAGTTCAGCTGTTGGATAACAGGCCCCTCCTATACCCTCCACGTTTGTCTTCCATACATGCTAATATGCTAATAATGTCTTCCTCTTGCCTTCTGAAAATGGAATCCAAATATGACTGTCATTTTGCAGACAAAGCTCACAAGGGCATTAGGGGTAATGTACAGTTTTAGTTCCCTAATAGAGTTTTAAGCCCATGAGAGATAAAGGAAAGTCAGCACGTAAATGAGGCACTTGCTCCAAATAATTAGCAGTTCTAGAGCACTTTTAATCTTCAAAGGGCTTTGTGCACATCCTTGTAAGTGTGGTACGCACCCTCCCCTCAACAGATGGAGAAAGAGGCCAGGGGTACTTCACGATGTTTGCAAACAGAGTTGGGAGAGGGTCTGCAGGGTTGGTGAGGTTTCTACTCAGAGTTTGGGGGCTGTTTTCCCTGCTTACAGAAAGACAGGTGGATTTCTGCACAGCTTGCCAGCTCAGAGGTTCAACACGGCAGGATGGGGAGCTAGCTCAGCAGCGCTGGGCCGTGAGCATTAACCTGGGTCTACAATCAAACCTCAAGGGACACATCTGACCTTTGAATAATTGAGCACTGCAGTGAAGAGGCTTCAGTAACTGAGCTCGCAGAGTGAGAAGAGGAGCTGTTAGGGGGTCAGGGAGAAAAACATTCCTCAATTTTGCATTAACGAGAAAACACAAATGAAAACTGTGTTTCAGAATACAAAGGAACAGCATCTTTTGCAGGAGAAAATGGCAGGGTGGGTTTTGGGTTGTTTTTGAGGTGTGGTCTATGGTGCCTGCAAGTTTGGTTTTTGCTGGTGTGCAAAGGTCACACGTATGGTTGGGTCAAGGGGAAGCGGCAAGGGCTCAGGTTGATGCTAAGGAGGCAAAGCTCTCTGAGTTAGGCTCATCTGAAGAGGTTGTGGTAAAGGCAGCTGCAGCCAAACTCTTTATCCTAGAATCACAAAACTCCTTGGAATGTAAGGGACCTTTAAAGGTCATCTAGTCCACCCTCCCTGCAGTGAGCAGGGACAGGTTTAACTAGATCAGGTTGCTCAGAGCCCCATCAAGCCTAACCTTGAATGTGTCCAGGGATGGGGCCTCCATCACCTCTCTGCACAACCTGTGCCAGCATTTCACCACTCTCAGTGTAAAAAATTTCTTCCTTAAATTAGTCTCAATCTACCCTCATTTAGTTTAAAACTATTACCCCTTGTCCTGTCACAAGAGGCCATACTAAAATGTCTGTCCCCATCTTTCTTGAAGGTCCCCTTTAAGTACTGGCAGGCTGCTATAAGGTCTCCTTGAAGCCTTCTCTTCTCCAGGCTGAACGATCCCCACTCTCTCAGCCTGTCCACACATGAGAGGTGTTCCAGCCCTCTGACCCTTTTTGTGGCCCTTTATCCAAATGGATCTTGCATCGCAGAGAAGCTGCCCAGGATTGTCTCACTTGGCTCAAGTCCCAAAGGCCATGGCCTATATCACACCTTTCCTCCTCTGGTGTAGACAGTCCCTGTGCCCTGGCTGGTAGCAGCAATTTTAGGTTCTCTTTTGTCACTCCTTCTGCATATAGTATGATTATTTTTTAAAGTGAATAAACTGTTACATTGCTTGTCAGTTGCAAATATATCAGAAGGACCCCATTACAGCTAATACTCTTGATATTTCTTGAATCACACAAAGGGAAACTGAGGATTTAGGTTTCCACTTGCAATGTAATTATGCTTGGAATTAAACTAAACCTTTGCTTCAGAGGCTCTCGATGTATTTCCATTCTCTAAGAGAGGCAACACTGGTTTCCCAAACCGCGTACCAGACACAGGGAGTTCAGAAGATTTGCATAATGTCAAACCTCAGTGCAACAGAGAAGTGAAGACACAGCCCAGGGGTCCAGACCCACTGCTTACTTCCTCTGATCAGTAGATTTCCCTCCCTCCCCTTAATACAATACTACGAAAACGTTGCTTATATAAAATATTTTCAAGTTGAATAGGTTACAAAGCGTATAATAAGGCATTGGGACTGACTGCTCCAGAATAAGAAAACTTTTGCAAATCTAGCAATTACTTTAAAAAGATTGGTTCATTTGAAAAGAATTATCTCACCAAACATTTTGCAAGAATGATGATGATAAGTTATTCCAAGGAAATTTTAAGGTGACTTTTAGAAATTACACTCAGCCATGGAACAAAAGGAGGCAATGGAAATATTCATTTCTGCTCAGGTATTTTTAATAAAGGAAAGCTTGTTAAAAATAAACTGCAAAGATTTGGGTGGAATCACAAATCATCTCATTAGCATTTTGCAAAAAAAAAGCTAAGATGAAATATCAGCTTGTAAAGTCTTTTCTGCAAAGCCAGTTTTCTCCACCTTCCATCTGGTTTATCTGTATTCTAAAATTCTCATTTTCAAAGAAGTTTCTAAAATTGCAATTCTGGACTGTTTTTGTTCTTACTAAACAAAGCAATGTACACCCAATATAGTAATGCAAAGAGGAATGCAATCAACTAAGACTTTTTTTTTTTTTTTGTGTCTGGCAGTTGATTTTTAAAGCCAGACCAAGGGTTTAAAAAGAAAAATAGACATGGGTGATTTCACACCTGCATTGCTTCTTACTCTGAAAAGCAACAATGGGGATGAGTTTCTAGTCTCTGGTCAAACACAAACTGACACCAATGATCCAGTGAAGGGCAGTATCATAGGACTGCAACTTTAATGGGAGTGGCACCCTCCCAGCACTTACAAGACTGATAGAGAAAAAGGAGACATGGCAAACTCAAATGCAGCATATGAAGGGCAAATTGGAAATTCTACTGTAGACAAGAATTTGAAATTTGCCCAACGCCACTTCTCAACATTTTGTGGACTCTGTCGAACGGCAGCAAAAAAGTGACACTTCCCTGCAATGAAATGATTAGAAAAGTAGACTATAAAAATGGCACTACAAAGAAATATCTAGAATTTTAACAGTGTTATTCAAACAGACGAGCTTTATTTTGCAGTTTATTAACTTTGAGTATAACTTTTTATAAAGAACATTAAAATGAAGGTTAAGAGAAACTTACCCCATAGACCAGTTCACCCACCATGCCATTCCATATCTTAGTCTCAGGGTCCCTAGCTCCATATTTCCCATCTCCAACAATTGACAGTTTGTATTTTATTCCAACATGTTTTGCTATTTCAGAAGCTAAGTCTACACAATATCCTTCATATCTCTCATTCCCTTCTAGTTGTTCATGGTTTTTCTTATACATTACATATGGTGATTCCTTTGAAACAAAAGTAAAGATCAAAAGTCTATGAATGTAAAATACAGCTTTAAAACAGACAAAATGAGAGCTGTTATTATCCTTTATATTACTGGCAAGTATTTACAATATTTCCTGCTTTGGTACAGAAATTAGAAAGACAGACTTTTGCAGTTTAAAAATCCTTGGCTGATCCCACAGCCACACATACTATCGATTTTATTCCTAGAATGGACCCACTGAAGACAACAGGACTATTCCATTTCAACAACGCTACACTTCTGTTTGCAGGATTAGGCCTGATTAAACAGTCAAATAGCATCACTGTAGTAATAATTTAGGTTTCAGTGTTTAAAGAACTGACATATCCAATACCTGTACCATCAAAATAATTTCCTAAGGCCCCAGTGGCCTAGAGTGGGGCTCTAATGAAGATATTTTCAAAGAAGCCTAGGGGAAGCTGGGCTAAAGTCCTCAGCAGCAATTTTTGTCACTAAATTCCCTTAGCCTTCTTGGAAAAGTCTAGCTGAAATGCTGATTATATCTGGATAAATCCATAGGAGTATAAAATACAAAGCTTCAGGAAACAGTATAAAATTGGCTCATGCTTAGCAGAATTGTAACAGGCATAAAAGTCACAAACAAGGCTGTACAGAGCACATCTGCTAGAGGCATTGGGACTGACACACATGCTGCTGTTTACGAGGCAGAGGCAGAGCTTTACTCCTTTGGAATTGCACAGGTACAGGTCGCTTTTTTCCCCGTGCTAGAGCAGTTCCCGTTCTCTACAGGCTTCACTGTGCCACCCTTACTCAGTCCACACGGGTTGAGTTTACAGGAGCTGTACCTGAGTGAGGGGTGCAAGATTTGACCCTAGGGCAGGAAGGCCAGATCTTGTAGCCATTTACACACATGCATAATCACTTATGTGAGGCATTTGATGGAGTTCAAGTGTCTGAGAAGCAGGAAAGCGTTATGCTGAGCTCAGTGAGCTACTCCTGTGAGTACGCTTACTGCTACAGATGGTAGTGTGCAGGGTCAAGCCCTCAGTTCATCTCTGGAAGACACTTTTCAGTCACTTGAAGTCACATGGTGTTCAACATTTGCCTCCTGGCAAGGTGTCTAACACACCTCAGGAGCCATGTGTCTTGTTTCCCAAACACAAACACACTACGAACATAAAACTTACCAAGATGGTAGTGACTACTATAGTTCTGTTCTCCACAGATGAAGTGTCATTAGAGGGCAGCTGATCTAATGCTGGCACAAATCTTTCATACTCATTCCAATAACCTGCCTATAAAAATGGAGATTGTTACCTCATTACACACATTTACAAGGATTCTGGTGCATGAACTTGTAACAGAAACTGTGAAAACATACTGCTTTGTAACACTCAGTCATGCAATGTTTTTGCCATTAAAGGACTATGTTAGCTTTAATTTAATTTCCTTAAGGAACAATGTTCTCAAACCAAAATGCAAAAAGCACAAGCCAAATCTAAGTGAAAATACATATTAAATTCTCCCTATCTAAATTCACATCATCGGGGTGCCGGTGGAATAAATTCCCATGCATCCACAGCTTAAGAATATCCTACAGATAGGAAAATAAACTGCACAGCACTCCGAGTAAAATCCTTCGGTTTTGTAATTTTTATCCATAGCCTCCTGCAAGTTCGGATGGTGAGTACAGTCCCTGCGGACATGCCTGAGCTAGCTTTAGAGTAGATGCCCAGACATCATTAGCAGCGCAGGCACAGCAGCGTTACCTCCAGCCCGGGACACAAGCCCCTCTGTGAGCAGAGGGGACTCTTGTCAGCTGCCTTGTGCTGACCTTCACGGTGCTGTGGCTACATTGCTACCTTGCGACACCAGGTTTTGGATCTCTGCACAACACAGAAATAAGACTTTTATCTGCAAACCTAGCTGAACGGCTGGGCCATGTGCAGAGTATCCTCTTATCAATTACGTGCAGAAGAGTTTGAAGAGTCTCAGTGGTGAATAAGCAGGTTAGGTACCTATTGTCAGGTGAAATTATTGGGATTTATGTGCCTTAGCTACTCCGACTCTTCTCTTGACACTCTTGAGACCCTGTCTACCTCACTATTTTTGAAAATCTGACCTAAATTTCTTTTGTAACAGAGATCTAGGCAACTATCCCACTTAGGATCTATACTCTATTTAGGAGACAAGACAATTAGTGGCAAGTCCTAATTATTTTCTGTTAATTCCAGAAGGTTTCTAAAACAGACTTTGGCTCCAGCTTCACTGCTCCAAGGCCTATTACAGAGAGGAAGGGAAAGATGAAGAGGAATTTAGGAGGTAGGGCTGAGCACAGGAACATGACAGCAGGTATGATGCTTATCAGTGGAAAAACTCCAGAGGGGTTTTAAGGGAAAAAAGGCAGTCCGAAGTTGACGTGGAAACCAATCAAGATATTAAGCAGGGTTTGGACCAGGAACAGAGTAGAACAAGGTTCCTTGGACAGGGAGGACAGCAAGAAGGTGGGGTTTCCTTGGGGCACTGTTGTTGCAGCACCCGTGTGGTATTTTTGAGTTTCACTAGTTTGGAATAAATATTTGTGAAGATGTGAAATCTGGATGCATATCTTGAAACTCACCTTCCGTGATCCAGCGGCTTTCATTTCATACACATCAATTGTGTAATTTGTTCTCCGCCCATACGTGTCGAACTGGATGTTCCCTGTCATTCCCTGAACTTGCACCTTAAGGGAATAAACAGAAAAAACATTTTAATAAAAGATTCACTTTATTTTTCCCTCTGTTACATTTTGCAGTAACTCACTAGCTCTAGCACAGTTTTTGTAAGTCTTGCAGCGCTTTTAACACAGTTATATTCTTCATAACAAAACCAATCTCAATTCTCTCAATTTCAGACGTACATATTCTTTCTTAGCTAGTACTCAGGAGGTGACTCAGTACCGCAGAGTGAGCTGCATTTAAGTATAAGTGAAATTAGTCCCGCACATATGTTAAAAGTAAGAAAGACTGATTCTGCCATGCTTAGTCACGCTGGGCTCACTGATACAGCATGCAGTATCAGCAAGGCACATGCAACAATTCAGTGCTATTAAACCCCTCACAATCCGGTATAAAGTGATTTGCAATATGGACTAGAATCCCACATCATTGCTCATTCCAGGATGTGCTTTATTTTAAGATCAGTCCCAGTACAGGAGAAGGGAATGAATATCTTCTCTGAATGAGCAATGACAATTGTCTCTAGTGCTCATGGAGGTTTGGTCTCAATCTGGATGGATGGGCGTATAGACAGTAAGTCATTATCATTATCTACTCACATGAATCATCTTAAGGGGAAGTATAAAGTACTTGGTTTCAAACAAAAAAAAAAATCTTTCTTATTCCCCTGTATGAAAGAGTGAGATATTTCCATCTATCACTTATCAACACCGACAAGCTGTCATCTCAGGCAGATGTCTGAAACTTTAGTAGGGGTAAATTAGCTTTAATATTTAGCAAAAAGATGTAGAAGATACAGAAAGAGGTGACACAAAACTAGTCAAGGGGAAACTGTTCAGGGTTGATGACCGATCTGCTATTTATATGGTTTAGAGATGGTTCAATCAAACTTATTATGGTGGACAAGGCTACATAAACCAGCGAAAATTCCTTGGAACTCAAATTATCCAGTGAGTCAAATTCAGACTGACATACAAAGAGTGTGATTGTTTGGTTTTTTTTTAATATCAGTAAGTGGATTTGAACCTTTCTTAAAATAGTTTATATAATCTCAGGGGTCTGGAAGAACATGTGAGTTATTCCTGTCTCCAGAAAGCTAGAAAGATGATTGAGGCTTTGAAAGTCAAATTTCTCCCTGAGAGGTCTCATCAGCTGTGGGCTGAGCAAATGTGTTTGTAGGGTGGTTGACATATAACTTGCAGCCAAACTGAGTTGCTGGGCCTGCTTTTGGGATGTGCTAGAAGCTGTCTGGCTGCCTTAGCACAGCAGTGACTCTATGTCTCCGCAGAGCTTGTTACGTAGGTTTCATCCTGATGTGTCTCAACGAGACATGAGCTTTGTGCACTTGACACCTTTTGACTTCAAATTTAATTTGTTTCTATCTTTGGTGGGAAAACTCAGCACTTCTCAAAATCTGGCTGCGCCAAGGCAGGAAGACTCACCAGGACTCGGAATGCTTCTGGTAGCAGCACACAGAGGCAATCACAAATGGAGCAACTATTTATAACTGCCCAGATCTGTTCACATGAACTGTCTGCCACTGATTTGATGTCTTAGAATCAGCTTTAGAAATACAGACATGCTTGGCTTTTAAGGCCATAGGGAAGCAGACAGGTAATGCCTATTTCTGTTTCGCCAACAGGATGACTATAGCATGGACCTGGACCTTCTGCTGGCCCAGCATATTGCCAGGATGTCTTGGAAAAAATATTCTTATCAGAGTTGTTGCTGCAGAATGGAGAGGAAATATTGTTAAACCAAAGTTTTTTTCCTGAAGTGAAGATTCGAGATCATTATTTTACTGAATAGCAGGAAAGAGAGGGCTCTGGAAGGCGGCATGGGATGATCTTGGCTAGCTCTTCTTGGAAGTGTATATAACCCTCATTTAGATGACTTTGGCTAAAACAATGCAAGGCAACCAGCTGAAACTCAGACTGCTGTATTTTTTGCCAATTATGAGTTTGGTTTTGTATATCTTATGAATTATGCTTTTTAAATCAATTCTCCTGAATGAGGGAGTGTAACTGTGTTGGTTTTCTTTGTTGACATGGTACATTGTACCTCATTTGGAGGAGTTCTATTTTTTCTTGTAATTAAGTTCAAATGGACAGAATAAATTCTTCAACTAGTGTGAAGGTTGAATTCAATTAACTTCTCTTCAAATGAGTGCAATGCCACATTAGTGAACATGCAGCTAGGGCGTTTGTTAGGAAGTGATGTAAGGCATAGAAAGATCTCTGGCAACGTGAGACGGAACCATCTCTCACTCTTAAGAGTGATATAATCTGATTAAAACCTTCTGTAACTCATTAAGCTTCTGATATAATCCTTCCAATTTGGTAATTGAGAAAAAGTGGTAATTAAACTAAATTTATGAGGTCTGACCTAGGATTTGTTTATACATAATGTGGATTTAATTCTGAACCCACTCACTCCAGTTCTATGCCTGCATTAACACAATCAATTCTAACAGGTTTGTTTTAGTGTTATTTGAGCCAGGTAGACCATATTGTTGTCTCTTATATCTACAAAAACGTTACTAAATTTTTCATGTTGTCTCTTTCTGTAACATACACAGCAGTCTAAAACGAGTTAAAAATCGACCAACTCAGAGACATTAAGTGAGGTGGGATCCCATGCAGTAAATAGGGGACAAAAATTAGAAGGTCATCAGGCTGAGTGCAAAGTTATGCCAAGAATCGGAACTGGTTGTAGGATAAACTCTGCCAAAGTTCAGGCTGGTGCTGAAATCCAGCAGTATCTCTGCCACCAACGTTCTTCCACTGTTTTAAACCAATCTGAGTTGATTTTTTACTGGCAAATTATCACAATGGCATACACGTGGTTAAGTTCCTAAGTATCTGTATCCCTGCAAAATTTACAATACACATGCTGAGGACCCAGTCTAGGTCTATTAGTCAGATTTGCAGCCTCAGTCTGACTTCAGAAACGCCCAATACATGTTCTTTGCAAAAAGGCTCATGCTCTCATGGGAAGTTTGGGTGTTACAGGGGAGTCAGGCTGTAGGAGCTCTGCTGTGGCCCATCAAGCAGATGCTGCACAGGTGCCACGGGTGTGTAAATTTGGCCTAAGTTTTAAGGGTGAATATGTTATGCCTTACCCTCTGTTGAATACACTTTAGCCATCCTTTGGAGCTTGTTATTAAGTTTGTTTTCTTTTTTTTTCTTTTTGGAGGAGCTGCAGCTGTTTGTGTGAGTACATAAACTCTGTGTAAATGGAGCAGGACACAAGTTTGGTCCCAGCAGATGCTGCTGTTGTGGAATGTACACATTCATGAACTGGTATGTTTGCCCTTACCATTTTCAGTGCTCTCTCTATATCAATTCCTTGGCTCCACGGTACTGCAGGGTTAGCCAGGCAGTCACCAGCACTACCTCTTCTGGAGACATCCACACGTTGTCTTCGGAGGTAACGGAAAGCCTCTGCTATGACTAGGACTGCATCATGGGTCAGTGCAGATGTGTACTGAAATTGATGCAAGTAAAATATAGTGACAAACTGCAATCTCAGAATTGCCCCAGGTTTATCAAGTCCAGCCCTTATCTTTGTCAAAATACTCTTAGAAAATCATGCTTGCAAGCCCTTTTGCTTGCTCTTGCCAGAGACGCTTTATGTAGTTCAACAAATCCATCTATTTCAATTAAAAAATGAAAATATTTTCATTTTGTAGAGTATGTCGCAGCAAAATAAAAAAACTAGTTTAGAGTTGCATAAAGTTTAAAGTTAATTGGAAGCTTGCTCATATAAACGACATCACTGCAAAAGTCCGCAGCTCCATGCTGGCCCATATTGCAAATACGGGCAGCTCATATTTGGTTTTTGTGTGGAGTATTCTTCTTTTTCACAAGATTGCCAAGACAGACAGTTTTGAATTGAAGTTAACATAAATCATTTCTGTCTGGACCACAATCATGATTAAGTAGCATCTGTGGCAAGGAATAGATCAGATTAGTTTTCTTAGAAGACAGCTACACAAAGAAGTAATCACAAAATACACTTTAGGCATTACATCTCCTTGGTAATTGCCCCTCAGTAATCTTACACCTGAGGAGGGTGGTGAGCTTTGTTTAGCAGCAATTCTTCAATGAAACCTCCGGACTCCTTAATTTCTTGTTCGTGTTGCTATCATTGTCCCCCATTGCTTGTTGTATTTACCTAGTGACACCCCCAATGCTGTAAATTTAGTATCATCTACAAAATCTCATGGAGGTGGGTTTTTTTCACGTTTTTTCCCCACATTTATGTGATTAAGAGTTCTGCCCTCCTAGAATGGCCCAGGCTATATGGCATATATACGACTTCTCTGGTTTTCACCAGCATTACAGCACACCTATAATTTAGGGGTCTGTATGCAGGAGACTGTTTCATTGCGTACATTCTGAGAGCAGTTGAATGCGCTCAGTGTGAAAGACCAGATTTTAAATCCCTTGTAACTGATCCTTTGTATTCCACAGTGTTTGTAAGAGAATGAAGAGAAGAAAAAACAGAATGTAAAGGGTCTCTGCATGTACTGGTGTGCCTGCCCATGTCTGTTTGTGTGACAGGACAGAGCTTCTGGCTCCCGATGAACCTCACACCGGAGCTAATGCCAGAAGATACGTTGCCCATGCGTGAATTAGAGGTAGAAATCCAAGCTTCAGCTGCATATTCAGCTACTCTTTCTGTAGATAAGATTTATTAAATTCAGAGGTGAATTCTATCCTGCAGGCCAGGATAGTACAGCTGCTGGTCTGTATTTCTTAAAAATTCATATTACCTTATTGCAAGCTCTTCAGTTTGATATAAAGCCTTAGGAAACCTGCACAGAATGAAGTGTGTCTGCATGTGCAGGTCAAGAGAATTGTATCTGGTACAAAAGGGTGCAAAGGTAGGATTGCAAAGAAGATGATACAGCAGCCATTCTCACTGAGGTTTAAACAACAGCAGTTTACAAACACTCACTGCGTGTGTGTGGGGTGGTTCCTGCTCTGACTGTATCTAGATACAGGCGCTCTTTCGATCCTGCCCACCTTTACCTCCTCCGGCAATTCTTTGCAATGCTCACCCTCTCTTAGTCAGTTAACAAAGGCTACACATCACATTCCATACAACAATATAGAATCAGATAGTAATTTCAAGGTATTTGTTCTTGTATTAAAAAAATCTTGTAATAGCTGTCCAATCTAGCACTACAAAAAACTTACAGGCTGATAATTTTTTCCAGCAGACTGCGTCAATTGTGAGTAACCTTAATGCAGTCCCTTCCAAGTCATGCCAAGAGAGCTATCTAATTTTCTACTTTATTTGAATTCTACTTATAAATGCATGAGCATGCAAAGAGAAAAGAGAGAGAGAGAAGGGAAAGACTGATAAAATACAGAATAAATTAAACATCGGGGCTTTAATCTCTAGGCAATTTTATTTCCTAATCAAAAATATTGTACATCAATTTTTTAAGTATGCTTTTTGTCTGATTGACAAATACCGTGCACATTTCTATAATGAGCAGTACATTTGTGGAAAGGTAATGTAATCTTTGTGTTTGTACCACATACTTAAGATTCTTTTTTAAGGATGGAGAATAATTTTTCCCTCAAGGTAAACTGCTTTCAAGTGGAATAAAATCTTCCCAGGTTAACTTTATATATTTCAGAGCATTTATGATTAGTAGGATACTTATCTTCACTTCTGCATCACTGCTAGGAAGCTTTAGAAAGCAGGCCTAGGTCTTAATCAACAGGGAACAATACACTAATCTGAGTTTTGTGGCCCTCTGATTGCTTTTCTCTACTTCTTCTGAAATGCCAGCATGGCTGTGTGATAGCATGGGCTTAAGATTAATTTTCCTTCCCCACAGAAATCCCATGATCCCAGGGATGGAAAAGTATGTCTCCAAATGGCACTGGCCTTTCTGGCAGAAGAACCAACCCAGTTATTCCTATTCTCTCTGTAGTCCAACACAGTGCTGCTGCCTACCCTGGTATCCCCACTGACATTGGGCTGGACTAGATTTTTCCTTCCTAGCCAGTAGTTCATGCTTCCCTGAACTTTGTCTTACTAATGTCAAGACATTACTCCAGCTTAATGGAGTAATTTCGAATTCCAAATCTGTTTATTGATTTGCATGAGTCCCTCCCAAATCAAGCAGGAAAGACATGATCATGGCTGCAGTTCTTAGATCTGGCTGCCTGAGACAACCAGCATACATGATGTGGAAGACTGGACTCCTGGCAGTGAAGGAATTTAAGGTCCTCTCATCCACCACCCCTCCCAGGTTTTATTTACCTAGGCATATTGGTGAAAAAGAACAAGCCTTGCCAAAAAAGGAAGAGAAAGAAAGAACATAGTAAGAATATTAATAATATGCAGTGGTCCTAGAAAATTATGTGACTGGGCAGTTATTAGCATCCTCCTCCTACTACAGAGAGGTTGAGGCAGAAAAATTTCTCGGGGAGATATTAACAGATTGGGTGTCTCCTAATAACACAACCTTTAGATCACCCTGTTCATGACAGTTTCAATGAACCTGGGATTTAATTCAAAAAATTTGGAAAATTTTATTGGTCGCAGATATAATATCTGGAGTGTTTCAGTAATGGACAGTAGTGCAAAATACAAGGTTAGATTATGAGTGCAACTGTCAGCAGTGACTAGGAGATGGCAGTGGCCCCTCAGTGAATCCAGAACTACTCTATTTTGCACATGAAATTCTCTCTTAGCACTAAAATGAACTAGTAACTCACAGTTTCCATCTAAAACCTAACCTGACTAGGTTCTACACCCATCCCAAGACTAGCTCCAGCACTTCAAACTAAATCTTTTTCTATTTTCTGCACAACGACAGGATTTGGAAGACCAAGTCTTTGCTTCTGAGGAACTCGCACCACGGTGGGCACTTGTATCCAACTAACAGCCTCTGCCTCTTTCTCTCTTCTGGAAGGGCAGCGAATGCCGCAGTGTATTCCAGTCAGGGATCTGTATCATACACATGCACGCATCTGGGGTTAAAAAATCTCAAATAATTGTTAAAAGCAACTCACATAATCTCCATCACTGTCAGGGTAAAATAAATACCTTTAACGGTGAGTTTTTGGCTTCAGGGAATTCCCTTTCATCGAGCCTCACCCAGCGCTGTAGAAACTGTTGAACCATTGGGTTTTCATTATTAACAATCTGGAATCCAGTGATGTTGGCACCTCCATGCATAACTCTCTCCAGAACAATGTCTGTGAAACCCTGGGAGGACACATGTCAAAAAGAAGAATCATTGCCATCCAAAGTCCTTTTTCTTTGGCTTAGTTTTACCTGCTACAGGTGTACTCCAAAGAAGTGGATTAATTTCCCTCTTGTTACCCGAAAATATTCTACCAAGGAGACAATTACTGTCACAACTGGGATTGTGTCAGCAGCATAAAATAGAATTTAAAACGTCTTCCTGTTCCGACCTTTGTGACAGAAAACTGCCCTGCTGTGCTGTGGCAACATGGTATGTAATATTCCCTGGTCAGAAAGAAAACACTGTGGAAAACTGAAGCACTATTTCTTTTTTTCTCCTCATCATGGGGAAAACTGGTCAAAGACCTCAGTTCCATTTGTACAGCAAAGTGTGCACAAAGGTTCAGTGGTGGGAGCAGGAAAGCACTTAACATCCAGATTGTTCTGAGGAAGCAAAACACACTCCTCCTTGCTCGGCAGTTGTGTGTCACAGCATCGCTTAACATTTCACCTGCAAGCAGAACGGTACGATTCGCTCCCACTCTGTTGGTATTTATACCTGAAGCAATAAATTGGTGTCTTTTTGATTAGTATGACTTGATTGCAGTCATGTTCATCTGAATGTCAATGGTTACACATGCTAAAAGGTAACTCAGAATACGAACCCCTGTATTTCTATGCACACACTAATCAGTGAGATCATGACTGGTTCTTATAATGCAAAATGACATATCTTAAAGTCATACAGCACTTACAGAAACAAGGGTATTTAAAAATTTGTCTTTTCTGTTTTAATCACACCCAAACATGGATATAAAGAATCTTCTACCAAGTGGAATTGCTAATTTAAAAGTGTCAGTTTTGGAAAAACATTTTTCCACTCACAGTAGACACAGAATCCAAAAATTACTTTTGCTGCAGGAACAATTACAATATAACACTTTTTTTTTACAGAACTCTAGCAGATGGTGTTTAAAAGGCATCAGAAACATCCCTGAAAGTCAATTTTAGAATCCAGAAGAATCTCCAGTACAGATAATAATACACTATCTTGTTCTGGTAGGTCAACATATACACAGGCACCACCCTATGCTCTGAAATACAAAAGAGCAGCTAAACAGCCCAGCTGGTTAACTTAACAGAATTGTTCTAATTTAAAGCTTTTACCACTTGCTTTATACACTAATATGCTACAATTATTTTTTCTGGCGTGCTTACATTTCAAATTGCTAACACAGAGGATTAGTTATCTAGTGTCTTATTTATGAAGATACAAAACAGTGGAAAACATATAATTAAATTATTATTTTAAAATTAGTAAAGGATATGAACTTCTTAGACAAAAGAAAGGCCATAATTGAGTGCAAACGACTATAACATACAAGTTCTAGTATTTACTGAAGTAATTTCTCAAAATCCAAGAACTCATCCATGCATATCATCTTTTGCTGATTAAAGTTGGCCCAACCTGAACAGAATATATTACCCTCTAAACCTTTGCTTGTAATAAATAAAAGTTCTTACCAGGTTAGCTAACATGTAGTGATAGCCTCTAGAGTGTTTGCCAAGGATTACAACCTGTGTGAAGAAAAAATTACATATTACTCCGTTGCCAGAGGATGACTTTTAACAAGTGGAAAACACCAGAGAATGAACGTTTTGGTAATTCTCTATGCCCAATCCATGGGCAGCACGAGTATTGCAGGTGCATGGCTTTACAGACACGACACAGTCCTTTGTGGTTTTAAAACACGCAGGCAGAACACAAAGAAGAGTAACTCAGAAGGCTGAGAAGACTCTGCTTGCTAAAACGATCTTACCTGGCAATCTCACCCTTGTGATCACAGTGTCTTCCCTGCTGACCAGGTTAATTTGAATTATCAGTTCAAGTATTTCTGCTTGGAAATGAGGTGACACTATATCTACTCGCTCAGTAAACTCCTGATTACTTTGTTCCTTGTCTGTGGCATGCACGAGAGGCGGGTGACACAGCCCAGCCCCTCACTGTGTTTATTAAACTGCACCAGCACAGCGGGGCTCAGCAGGCTCCAGGTCGTACAGGGACCTGCCATGAGAACTCTGGCCAGGCCTTGTCATAGAACCATAGAATCAATCAATGAATGGCCTAGGCTGGAAGGGACCTTAGAGATCATCTAACCAAGCTCCCTGTCATGGGCAGGGACGCCTCTCAACTAGATCAGGCTACTCAAGGCTCCGTCCAACTTGGCCTTGAACACCTCCAGGGAGGGGGCAGC